CAGCGGCGCCGCGGCGGCTCCCGCCCTCCGCCCCGGCCAGGGCCCCCAGCTCTGCCCCTCTAAACACAGGTCTGACAACACGGGGAGATCCTTTGGAATGAGAAGCACTAGAAAAACATACACTGTTATTAATTGTTTGGGAGAAAACATTTAGAAGTGAAGCCCACAACTAAATACAGCAGTTTAACAGCAGAATCGAGACAGAGGAGGAACATGGAACAACAGGAAGGCAATTCAAAGGGAAAAAGCAACAGTGAAAAGGCTCAGTTCGTGGTGCCTGTTAGAGGAGCCTTTGGAATGAGAAGCACTAGAAAAACATACACTGTTATTAATTGTTTGGGAGAAAACATTTAGAAGTGAAGCCCACAACTAAATACAGCAGTTTAACAGCAGAATCGAGACAGAGGAGGAACATGGAACAACAGGAAGGCAATTCAAAGGGAAAAAGCAACAGTGAAAAGGCTCAGTTCGTGGTGCCTGTTAGAGGAGCCATGAGCAAACAGTGCAACCTCCAGGAACCTGGCTCAGCATCTGCCCTGGCCTGCAGCTCACGAGTCCTGACATCTCTGAAACACCCCTCCAAATGCACCCTGGATTATGCAGCACATTCACAGGCCACCTTTGCCCCTCTGCACTCCTGGCTCTGCCCCATCCCCTCCCCGAGCAGCGAGCAGGTCTTACCGTGCTGCGACCACAGGCGACTTCTTCCCGGGATCTAACGTGGCCCCGGCCGGTTCCTCCCCCAGGGACCGCGTATCTTTATTCAGCTGCTGTAGTCGGGAACTTAGCTCACTGATCACAGTTGGCTTGTCATCATCAGCCCCATGGATCGGCCTGCTCTCCATGGGGTCCCCCCATAGCTTGGACCTTCTCTGAAAGAGGTAGCGTGGCCGGCCAATGCTGGCGGATGCCAGAGTGGCCGCATGTTGCTGGGAGATGAGCTCGCTGTCCGAAGACTGCTTCAAAAGTGGGTCCCTGAAAGTAACTGGCCCCTTGCTGAGCTGGGACTTGAGTTTTGGCTTTGGAGGCACTGGTGGCTTCTCGAGTATAAAAGTTTGTCCATCCGCAAAGGAAGTGTATGTGTCAGTAGGCTCCCCGCTTTCTGAGGACAACGTAGACATGCTGGAGACCGTAGAGATGGTGCTTGTGGTCTCCAGGTGATGGTCACTTGAACTTCTGGTGTCCACCTCTTCCACTCCCGAGTCTGCAGCAGACTCTGGGGCTACGGGGGCATCAGAGGGCTTCCCTGAGGGTGTTCCGCCAGTGGTAGAAGGTGCTACTGCTGCCGCTGGTAGGGATGGCGTGCTAGGCGTAGCCAGGTGGCTGATCGGTGTGCCGGGGGTGGTGACGAGCACCCCGTTCGCAAACTCGTCCGGGGGAGGCACCAGCCCTATCTTGGCCAGCTCCTCCCGTGTCTCTTCGTCGCTCGAGGACAGCTGGGCCGGCGGCAGGGTGACCGTGTAGGGCTCCACCTCCTCCTCCGAGCTGCCTTGGCCCAGCGCCTTGTCGGAGGCCGGGCTCACGGGAGGCTTCCCCGCCGGGCCGGGCTCGGCCTCCGCCTGGGGGGACTCCGCTGGCTCCGCGCACGTTTCAGGGACAGCCGCTTGCTCCTCTTTCACCTCAAGTCCTATCTCGTCTTGGCCATTACTTGTGGCATGAACCATGATGAGGCCAGCGGTCTTCTGCTGTGATGTATCCACTATGCTGATGATCATGGACTTCTTGTCTTCTTGTTTTTTCTCCTCTTTTCCAGGTGTTTCTGCTCTTGCTTCGGTTTCTTTTCTCAGGGTGGATGGAGTCCCCCACTGGCTCTTGGCAGGTGTCAAGGTCCCAGAGTCTGTTCCAATTGCCCCCTTGCCTCCAGGTGAATACGCCGGTGACACTAAGCTCTCCAGTTCCACCCTCTCCGGTTCTTTGGTTTGGATGTCCACGAACAGAGGTGCTGCTCTCTCCGAGTCCGGGCTGTGAATCGGGGTGGGCGAGCGGGATGGGACTTGAGTCGAGAGGGCCCGTTCCCTTGCGGCCAGCGCAAGCGCCAGTGGTGAGTTCGGATCCAGGGGCTTTCCGGTCAGGGGGTGGATGAACGTTGATGAGGAGCTGCTGATCAATGGCTTTAAAGCTGAGACAGGGGAAGGCAGTAGAACATCTCGGCTTCCTAACAACCGCTCATCGATAGACCTGGACTGCTGCAGGGATGGCATGTCGCTGCTGGGGGGGGTCCCTTCGATGGCCCCGACGGAGAGGAAGACAGTGGATTTCCGCTTCTCATCCAGACGACGATCTCTGTCCTTCATGACTCCAGCGATGGCAGTGGCGAAGGGGATGCTTGTGGCGTCCACCTGAGCGATGCCGGCGTGGTGCTGGTACTCCACGCCGCTCAGGCGATGGCTCCTGCGCGTGGGGGACGGCTCCCGCGCGAAGCCCCCCGTGATGGACAGCGCTGCCCTTTCCTGCGCATCCTCCACCTGCAGCTGCTTCACCAGGGGACTCTTCTTCCTCTGCGGCTTGGTGGGAGCGAACAGGCTGACGTTGAACTGGCCCATGTTGGCGTAGGGGTTGTCGATCACTCGCCCCTTCCTTTTCAGCTTCTCTGGCGGGGTTGCAGATGGGCCAGGCCGGGGGATCTCTGTCGGCTCCACGGGAAGATGAGAGGAATCCTGCAGGATTATCATGGATCGGGCCCTCTTCTGCCTTTCAGGATAAGGGATGGAAGTCCTTGCCTGATCATACATCTCAGCGGCGCTAATGACCTGTGGGAGCCCATGGAGTTTGGCCTCCAGGCTTGGCTTAAAGCTTGATCTGATGGTGTCGTAAGCTCTTCCTGGCGGCGGAGGTGGCGAGAAGGACGGAGGGGGAGCCGTGTCGAAGTAGTATGGAGACGGAGGCGGGGGCGGCGCGGTCTGAGGAGGCGGTGGGATCCCATGGCCTTCCCTCACAGTGTCTTGCATGGATGTGCTCCGGGGAAACTTCCCGTCTAGCAGAGAAGCCGCGAGTTTCTCGTCTTCCCCTAGAAAACCAGAAGAACAGGGAAATCAGAGCGGGCCTCTGCAGAGCACGAACACGGGCAGGAGCTCAAGCTGCATGTAAGGGATCCCTTCCTTCCCGCACTCCACTTGCTTTCTGCAGTGACTTCCCAGTTCATCTTTCTTTCTTTGGTGGCAGCAATTGCTGCCCAGCCCTTCGTGCGTGTATTTAGACACCGGGCACGGAAGGACAGTCACAGATTCTTACAATGTCCCATAGTGCTTTTAATGCAATGGCCTATTCTGCTTTTAACCCATCGGACAGTCCTGCCCAACGCTCTCCAGCCCTCTGCAATGGCGACACAGCGGAGCGGCCGCGCTGCGGAACCGGCTGGCAGCGAGCGCTGCGGGGCGAGACGTGGGGCGAGACGTGGGGCGAGACGTGGGGTGAGACGTGGGGTGAGACGTGGGGCGAGACGTGGGGTGAGACGTGGGATGAGACGGGGGTGTGAGACGGTGGTGTGAGATGCAGGTGCAAGACGCGGTGTGAGACAGGTCTGAGACACTGTGAGACGGTGGTGCGAGATGAGGGTGTGAGACGCGGTGCGAGATGCGGTGTGAGACACGTGTGAGATGCGATGCAAGATGTGGGTTTAAGACACAGGTGCGAGGCACAGGTGTGAGACACGGTGTGAGACGCAATGTGAGGCGTGGGGTGAGATGCGGGTGTAAGACACAGTTGCAAGACGCGGTGCGAGACGCGGTGTGAGCAGCACCTGCACACGCAGCCTCGCGCTCCCCGGCACGCTGCTCCCTCCTCCCTCTTTCCCCTTCTGCCCTGCGACGGCTGCAAGCGTTGGAATGTGCCGGACTGCAGAGCAGGGCCCAGCAGCACTGCAAGTTGTGGACTGCAAGAGCTGGAGGACCCAGGAGAGCCGAACTCTGCCGTTCTCACAACCAACCCGCGCTGGGCGCACAGGAGGCCCTCGGGCACCAGCGATGCCCAGTGAGGGGCTATCCGCGTCCTACCGTGCAAAGCAGCACAAAGAAGGGGACATTAATGCAGCACGTCCAGGGCAGAGAGGACAGAGGGTGCAAGTTAACCCGTCCTCCCTGCTCCAGGTCTCTCCAAGAGCTGCCCCCTCTTTTCAAAGTCCTGCTTTGCTCTTCCAATCACCTATTTGACATATGTGGGTCTTTTTAAACACAGATCAGCTGTTTTCAGGTTAAAAGCTCGTCATTATGAGAGAATGCTCAAGACTTAAAGCCACACCTTGGCACAGCAGCAGGGAACCACCTTCTCTGGTCCCTAATCCTTTCTCTCTAATGCCCACAAGCACTCAAAGTGCTTTGGCAAGCGCGTGCTGTATTGCATTAGCAATTTCACCAAGTGCCTCTGGATACAGAGCCCGCTGGGAGGAAAAGGGAATATTTTTGCAAGTGAGCGTTAGATTTTACATCTTATCACATTTTTCTTCTTCAAAGCCATGCTATTTTTGCTGAACACTTTACAGGTATTTTTAATACAAGACAGCATAATGAGCTGGCGGCAAGAAACCAGTGTAAAGAGAGAGTGGACAGAGCCAGGGAGGACAATTTTTTGTGGGCTACTGCGTGCATAGAAACCATTGCACTGAAAATAGTAGCTCCTGCGTAGGCATTCCGAGGAAATATCATGTCCTTGCCCTGCTTTCACTTTTTCCTGGGCATCTGCTTATGGGCAGTGCCTACGACAGGATCTGGTGCTAGATAGAGCCATAGCTCAATTCCGCATGGATATTTTCACATACTCAACAGCATGAGGAGCCAAAAGGACAGTCATGCCCTTCTGTTGGGCGCTCCTTCTCGTTTGGGAACGCCGGGCAGTGCAGGAGGGAGCCTTGGTGGCCGTGGGCGCCGTGCTGGCCCTGGGCGCAACTTCGCCAGGACACGGAGCGGGCGCCGCGCCGGCTCTGCCGGGCCAGGACACGGAACGGGCACTGTGTTGGCTCTGCCGGGCTGGGACACGGAGCGGGCGCCAGGACACGCAGCGGGCACCGCACCGGCTCTGCCGGGCCGG